CTGAAAAAGGTATGAGGCTTTCAAATTTCTATGTATCTTTCTTTCTCTTCAGATAAATATATATATATATGTACGACTTTGATTCTAGAGAGAGAATGAGAGTGTGTTAGAAAAGGAGACTCTGGTTGAGGCGAAGCGTAGATCAGTGTGTGAGTGTGTGTCATCCTCTCTGTCTATCTTTCCTTCAATCCTCTTGAAGTTTCTGATTTCATACAAAAAATATTTTATAAAAAGAAAAAATCCCAATTACGTCTGACATATTGGACATGCGAAGTCTTAATCGTGGAGATTAATTAATCAATTAATTGTTCGGAAAATTATAATAAGAAACTACGGATTCGATTGCGAGTTAAACAGATCGCCTTGTATTTACATAGCAACATGCTTTCATTTTTCACCGCCACCGCCCTTGTTGTCTTCCTCAGCTCCTTTCCACACCGGGGTTATTGGGCTTCTTCTTTGTCTTTTCTCTCTCCACCAAAAAAAAATACTGAGTGTAACGATAATGTTATGTAGTGTCATAATTAATAATAAGTAATAGGCTTTTGTTCAGTTTGAATCGGATTAAATGGTTTTGTTGGGTGCCCGTGAGTTCATTACAGAATTCACACCGATAATTTGATAGGTTCAATAGGTAGAGTTTGTCGAGTATTTCAGCTTTATAAAAAATTATATTAATCGGATATTAATAGTTATTTGATCAGGTCACATTTATGCCAATGATAAATATAATTTTTAAAATAATTATTGATACAAATATGATGTGATTAAGTGTCTATCGATATCTAATTAATTTAATTTTTTACAAGAATAAACTACTCAACAAATTTTACTTATTAAACCGTTCGAATTATCATCCTGAACTCCTTAGTAGATCCAGGAAGGCTGAACAACCCCCTCCAATTAGGAAACCCAAATGAAGAAAACCCACTACCTAATAAAAAGTTACAAATGTATTAAGGCCATGTTTGGTTTATCAAGTTGGAAAAAATAAGTCAAATATGATTAAAATATATTTATATTTTACATACATTTTTTTATTTTTAAACTTCTTAAATTTATGAACCAAACACAAAAATAATGTCTCCACTCCCTATCACGTCTCCACTCCCTATCAAAAAGAGAAATGCTAGGTGTCATGAAGAATTTTCATGAAAACTATCATGAAAACCATCTGCACCGTTAGATCAGGTATGTGTCTCATGATCCAACGGTGCAGATGGTTTTCATGACAGTTTTCATGACAGTTTTCATGAAACGTAGCAGGACCTATCAAAAATCAAGAATTGATAATACCACCCATGTATATCAGGTTCCATCCAATATTTCTCTTCACCAGTACATGTACTTTCTTTTTTGATTTTTTTTTTTTTTTAATTTTTTTTAGGCTTCTTGCCTTATTCTATTCACCCACCCATACTCTTTTTTCTGTATTAAATGTTTTTTATTATTAAATAATACGTATAAAATATTTTTTTAATCTAATATTATATTATCAGACAAAAAATAATGATATAAATGAGATCAGTTTTCCTCCAATCCAATCCAAGTAGATCAGAAAGGGTCCACTTCATTAGCTGTGGTTCATTATTTCGAATTTGTCTTGATAATTTTAATTATTAATCTTTTAATAATTTTTAAATAATTATTTATTTAAAAAAAATTATACAGATCAATCAAATACTTATGGTTATATAATTAAATTATATTTATCTTCAAAAAATGATAAATAATACTCACAATTATAAAAATTTAAAAAAATACGGTTAACCTCACATAATTAGGTTATTTTTATTAATAATTTGTTAATTGTATGAATAAAAAATAATATTATCTGTTAGTATATTATTATATGTTAGTGTTTAGCTTTAATAATTAGTATCCCCTTGTTTTATGCTTTCGGTGCCTCAATTGGCATCCTATGTTGTCTTCTCCTCTCTATAAAGAGAGTGTACATCTCTTTGTAAAGACACACAGAAATACACAGAAATAAAGAGTTATTCATTTGCTCTTCCTTCTCTCTTTCATTTGCTCTTCCTTCTCTCTTTCTCAAACTATTGTTACATGGTATCAGAGTTAGGTTAAGAACCTAGTCATTCCGCTTCACCGGCGGGCGGCAGCCTCGCCTTGGCCGCCCGCCGGACCTCTACACATACCTTCACTCCGCTGCCACAAATTCCATAACTGAACTGAACTCTTGTCTCTCTGAGGGAATAATCAACACCTTCACACCAGTGAGGCCGTGGATATGGATCGCAGGTCCGTTTATGTTGTAGCTTTTATCTGCATTGTCGTCGCCGGTGTTGGAGGTCAATCTCCTGCCACACCTCCTGTGGTGTCCGCTCCGCCGGTTTCAGCCCCACCACCTGCCACTCCACCTCCGGCTACTCTATCACCAGCTACTCTAGCCGGCAACATTGCCTTCGCTGCCCGCTGGAGTTTTCAACACATACCACAAACACATACCAGAAACTCTTCTTCCTTGGCATTTTTCTTCTCATGATGCTCATGGAATGCATACCCACCAGATCCAACTGCAGCCTCAGCTGCTATCTCTTCCTCTATCTTATGCTTGTGGGCATGCTCTGGGTCTTTCTTTGACTGATGCTTCTTATACAAGGCAAAAGTGCCAGCAACTACAGCACCAAGCTTACCACGCTGCTCACGGTCGTCAGCTCCAAGATCGGCAACCTCCACTTCTGCCACCGACACGGCGTCACCCACCGTGGGTGATAGCAACACACCAAACAGCTTTTGCAGCTGGTTACCTTACCCCACTGGATTCCACCGTAGAATCGACTCCGACGTCGTCGAGTGGCAGAGCTTCGTCCCAGAACTTGGAGGTGGATTATGGCTGCGTCTACACAGTCGTCATAGTCAACTGCATCTTCCCTTCCTCCGTCTGCCACGGCGGCTCCGGCGGACAATTACTCCTCCATGCCTCCACCAACGGCGGCGGAGATCGAAACTCCAACGTCACCGCCACCATTGAAGCATTATCCGACTCACCCTGGAAGCTTAAACCCATCTCTCTGGTGGACCGAAGGAATCAAGTCTGGTTCTAGAGAAGAGAGAGAGAGATACATGCTCTCTAGTGGCTGGCCCCAGTTCAAATAATGAACCATAAAACCAAAACCATGTGCTGGTTCCACCCACGTTATTTCACACTTTTCTTTTATTTTAATATATATATATATATATATTTTTTTTTTATTATAATATATTTCCCCTATCCCTACCATTATGTCCACTTTTCAACACATCATTATTATTTTCAACTCACGGCTTCAGTAACCCGCAGTCTGATTCCACTACCCCTAGTTTTATTTTATTTTATTTTTTCTACCTTTCTTTTTTCATCAATATTTCATTATTATACAACTCAGTTAGTGAGCATCACCCTTTTTCCATTATCTTATTATTATTTTTTTTTATATTCCACCTAAAAAAAAAAAAAAAACCTTTCTACCATTTTTATTATTATTTTTTTTTTTTAACATCTTCACTCTGTATTGAGCTGTTTTGCTCCACTTTTATCAATCCCTTTGTTTCAACCTCAAATAGGTTTTTATCTTCACACCTATTTGAGTTTGAGGGGGGGTTATACATATATCATGGTGAGCATGGTTACACACCATGCGAATCACCCAAGCTGATGAGCATGGTTATATACCATGGGAACCACCCAAGCCACCCCACGACGCACTCCCTAAGTCGCCCCCTTGGTGCACCACCAAAATCTTCTACAACGGTCTGACATTGATTCCGGTTAGCATCTACATCGGTCCGGCATGACCCCGTAAACTGTCCCGACATTGATTCCGGTTAGCTTCTACATCGGTCCGGCATGACCTCGTAAACTGTCTCAACATTGATTCCGGTTAGCTCCTACAACGGTCCGACATGACTCCGTAAACTGTCTCGACATTGATTCTGGTTAGCTTCTACATCGGTCCGGCATGACCTCGTAAACTGTCCAGACATTATCTGCTACAACGGTCTGACACGACCATACAGTGTCTTCTCCAACGATGTGACACGACCATACCGTGTCTTCAACAACGATTTGACACAATCATACAGTGTCTCCTATCCTATTTTATTTTATTTATCAGTTTACTTTCCTGTTTTGTTACTCTCTCCAAACTCAAGTTGGTTAGTACCTATCCTCCTTGAGTTTGAGGGGGGCTGTTAATATATTATTATATGTTAGTGTTTAGCTTTAATAATTAGTGCCCCCTTGCTTTATGCTTTCGGTGCCTCAATTGGCATCCTATGTTGTCTTCTCCTCTCTATAAAGAGAGTGTACATCTCTTTGTAAATATACACAGAAATACACAGAAATAAAGAGTTATTCATTTGCTCTTCCTTCTCTCTTTCATTTGCTCTTCCTTCTCTCTCTCAAACTATTGTTACATTATCATTTATTTTTTAATTAAAATGCATATTTATGTTTGTTTATTTGAATATCTACCGTCTACCTACAATAGTTTTAATTCTTTTAGTTTTACTAAAAAATATATAACTAATAGTATTTTTTCAAATCTCAAATTTATTATAGAAAGAATGTATGTCTATGTTTAATGCAACTGTGCAATTATGTATGTAATAACAATATTAATTTACTTGGTCAAGAGTAGTGGGAGAGGATAAGAATTTTGGATGATTGTTGTGGATCAAAATCCCGTTTCTATTTTCCAACTCTCTGTATAACACATATTAATGATTCATTTACATTTTTTTTTTTTTCAATTGTTAGTCTAGCAGTAAAATAAATTAGTATGAATATTATAATGATAATGACGATAAATAATAATAGACATAGATAAAAAGTAAAGGTAGGAAAACTTTAGGGTCATGTTTGATTCACAAAACTAATAGTGAGGTATTAATAATCCTATCAAATTAGTGTGGTATTAATAATCCTATTAAATTAGTGTGGTATTCACTATCTAATTGGATTAATAGAATAAATTATCCATTGGATTAATAATCTCACCCCTACCCCATTATTAATAATCCTACAAATTTGTTGGACTAATTATGCATTGGATTAATAATCATAAATTAAAATGTTAAAACAAACATAGGATAATTGAGCCTACGAATTAATAATCTCAATCTCATACTCTAATCCATCCAATCAAACATGCTCTGGGAGTGTTATTACCGTCTTAAAATTATTTTTCCTCCTCTCGTAAAGGTACAACCGGAGTAAAGCAGTTCAAAAATAAAACTTATACTGCTCATAATATTCTTCATGTGTTCATGGCTACCAAGAGACTTGAACCATACTATGGACCAAAATTACTCAAAACAATATAAAATACATATAAATATATAGAAAACTCTATCTACAATCTCTCATCTTTTCCATCTCCCCTTCGTGCATCTCCTTCCCTTTAGAAAACCATAGGTATATATAGGACTTAGGTATTAAGACTTAAATACATATAATTATATAGTTATAAAACGTCATAATAATATTTATATTGAATGTGATTGTTTAGCAAGAGTCTGGTAGTCTAATTCAGACCCAAAAAAAATTTAAAAAGAAAAAAATTTAAAAAAAATTTAAAAAATTGTGTAGATGAATCATTGCTAATAATATGTCTGTTTGTGTTTTTATTTATTTATTTTTATTAAGACTTTTGACCACCCATATCTCACCATGATCTTTTCTTTTGAGGACACCATTGAATTTACAGAAAGAAACAAAGAGAAGCAAACATGGCCGTCGTTGATGGGAAGAAGGAATATCCAAGCAAACTCACACTGTATGTCAGTATAACATGCTTGATTGCATCTACGGGTGGTCTCATCTTGGGTTACGATATTGGAATTTCTGGTAATAATTATAAAAAATACCCACCACCGCTCCAACTTCATACTATATACATACACATGTACTGATATAATCTATATCTGTGTACATATAATTTAGGTGGCGTGACGTCTATGGATTCATTCTTGATGAAGTTTTTTCCATCTGTGTATGAAAAACAAAAGGCAGATAGTTCGACGAACCAGTACTGTAAATTTGACAGTTTCACTCTCACTATGTTCACTTCTTCTCTGTACTTGGCTGCTCTGTTATCGTCGCTTGTTGCTTCGACAGTGACGAGAAAATTGGGAAGAAAATCGTCGATGCTGTTAGGAGGTGTACTGTTCTGTGCTGGAGCTCTCATCAATGGGTTTGCTCAAGCTGTCTGGATGCTAATCGTTGGTCGTATTTTGCTTGGTTTTGGTATTGGATTCGCCGGTCAGGTAACTCATTTTCTCTCTCTAAGATGTTTCTCATCTTTGTTTTGTGTAAAGATTTTAGCTTTTGTTCTTGCAAGATTTTTTGTCTTGTTTATATTTGCTTTTTCAATTTTTTAGAAAGATTATTTACAATCATAATGTGGCAGTGATTTTTTTTTTGTTTAAAAAAAAAAGTGCAAATTAAAATTGTTGGTATTTTGATTTCAAATGAAAAGTTTCATATCATTAACAGTAAAATTCTATACAAAATCAGAAACAGGAGGACTGCATTGTCTCTGCACCATTCAATATAGAAAAAGGTAAAATTGTTCAACAAGCTACAAAGATATCCTTTTAAAAAATAAAAATAAAAAACTGAACTAAGGGAACTTATCAATTAAGATCTGTTGGATTTGAGGGACTTTTTGCCAAATTTGCCCAAGTACTAACAGATATATTTTTAAATTACAGTCTGTGCCACTATACCTCTCTGAAATGGCCCCCTACAAGTACAGAGGTGCACTGAACATTGGATTTCAATTGTCCATCACAATTGGTATACTAGTAGCCAATGTGTTGAATTACTTCTTCGCCAAGATCAAAGGCGGTTGGGGATGGCGTTTGAGTTTAGGGGGTGCTGTGGTCCCTGCCCTCATAATCACAATTGGATCATTAGTTCTTTCTGAGACACCCAACTCAATGATTGAGCGTGACAAGACTGAGGAAGCCAAATCCAAACTCAAAAGAATTTGCGGCATTGATGATGTTGATGAGGAGTTCAACGATCTTGTTGTGGCTAGTGAGGCATCTAAGAAGGTGGAGCATCCGTGGAGAAACCTTTTGCAACGAAAATATAGACCCCACCTTACCATGGCCATCCTCATTCCCTTCTTTCAACAACTTACTGGCATTAATGTCATTATGTTCTACGCACCGGTTCTATTCAAAACAATTGGTTTTGGAAGTGATGCCTCACTCATGTCTGCTGTGATCACCGGTAGTGTGAATGTTCTTGCAACTTTTGTATCAATTTATGGTGTTGATAAGTGGGGAAGGAGATTTTTATTCTTCGAGGGGGGTATTCAAATGCTCATCTGCCAGGTATGATATCATTTGTTCTGCTTTGTTCATTGATTACCATTTTTCTTTTTATTTGTTGATTATTTTTTTTAATGGACAGGTGGCAGTTGCAGCTTGCATTGGTGCTAAATTTGGAATAGATGGGAACCCTAGTGAGTTGCCCAAGTGGTATGCTATTGTTGTGGTGCTTTTCATATGCATCTATGTTGCCGGTTTTGCATGGTCTTGGGGGCCTCTTACTTGCTTGGTACCTAGTGAAATTTTCCCACTCGAAATCCGTTCTGCAGCACAGAGTGTTAATGTTTCGGTCAACATGATTTTCACATTTGCCATTGCTCAAGGCTTTTTAACAATGCTCTGCCACTTGAAGTTCGGTTTGTTCCTTTTCTTTGCGTTCTTTGTGGTGGTGATGACCATCTTTGTGTACTTCTTTTTGCCCGAGACAAAGAACATCCCAATTGAAGAGATGTCGATTATATGGAAGGACCATTGGTTCTGGTCAAGGTTCATGACCGATGTTGATGATTATCCTGCGAAAGGAGCTATTGAGATGGGCAAGGAAGGCAAGCCTGCTAAATATGTGTAACCTATTCCGAATTTATATATATAGTTGCATACGTGTACAATCGTCATTGGATAGAGGGTGATGAATTAGTTTTTCTTTATTTCTGAAATGACTGATTGATGATCATTGCTTGATCTCTTCTTCATTTTTTACTTATTTGGTATCAGCGGATACTGTTGATTTCAGTGTGGAGAAGTATAAGTTGGTTCAAATTGTATGAATGTCTTAATTTACAAGCATCTTTTGGTTTGTTCAAGCAAATTTGTACAATTAGCAGACAGCTTTTTATTCTAAAATTCAATGACTAAAGTGTGTTTTGAACATGAATATCTTGTGCTATCTGAGCACATTACCGTTTAGTCTCTAGATTCATTTTTAAGCAATTTCTATTTTCTCCCTTTTTCACATTGTTGTTGTTTGAAAAGAGGGATCTGAGGGCCACATTTGAATCCAAGAGGGACAAAAGAGTCTCAATCTAAAACAGCTGCCTCCTTGCTCTAGTCCTTTCTTTTATAAGTAATTTTTTTTTGTCTTCATTTATGGGTTTTTTTTTTTTAATCTACAAGATATATAGCACATGATATGCAATAAAATTTAGCAGTTGCAGGCTCCAAAAGATGTGGGGGAGACAAATAACACTTTCTTTGTTTCTGCTTTCTTTTCTATTTATGTTTTGTCTTCATTGTTAATTAGCCCTAATTTACATACATAACTCTCTTTTTCTGATTTTGTTTTTTTCCCAATGTGATTCTTTACAACCCATTTCTCACCCTGAACTCTTCCCCTCTCACCAGTGAAGTTACAGAAACAGAGAAGCAAACATGCCTGCCGCTGGTTTTGGCCCCGGTCCTGGTACTGGGAAGGAATATCCTGGCAACCTCACCCTCTATGTCACTATAACATGCATGGTTGCAGCCATGGGTGGTCTCATCTTCAGTTACGATATTGGAATTTCTGGTATGAACTTCATATATATATAGCAATTTATGTTGTCATGCACATGTTGTTGATCGTTGGGTTGTGTGTATGTATAGGTGGAGTGACATCTATGGAATCATTTTTGAAGAAGTTCTTTCCATCTGTGTACGAGAAGCAAAAGGCGGATAGTTCGACAAACCAGTACTGTAAATTTGACAGTTTCACTCTCACTATGTTCACTTCATCTCTGTACGTGGCTGCTTTGTTGTCCTCACTCGTCGCATCAACGGTGACCAGAAAACTGGGCAGAAAGTTGTCGATGCTGTTTGAAGGTACTGTTCTGTGCTGGAGCTCTCATCAATGGGTTTGCTCAAACAGTCTGGATGCTAATTGTTGTTCGTATTTTGCTTGGTTTTGGTATTGGAGTTGCTAATCAGGTAACTTGCTTTCTCTTCTGGAATGCTTGTTTGTTTTCTGATCTTGTTTTGTGTAAGGGTGTTCTGTTTTTGGATCAAGAGATTCGCAATGTTTACTCATATCTCTAGAACTGGTATTTTCATCACCCATTTTACCTACAAAATGGTAACTACAGTTAAAGTGAGCTTTTCAATTTAGGACATTAGTAGTCAAAGTAGCATCGAGTATGCTTGTGTGATGGTCAATGATAGTCCTTCAGTTCCATTCATCTCCTATTTCAGTCTATTCTCAACCATTAAATTATATAAAAACTTTGTAGTATGATTCAATTAGGAACTCTATTGTGCAAAGTGTTTCTGTGTTAATAATAATTCATTTTAAAGTGTAGAATGCTTCCAAGCTCCACCTCTGTTAACTCAACAGTCAACACTTCTATTTCAAAACTGATCCTTTCTAAAAACACTACAAAGTTCGCATTTTTTAAAAAAAGTTATTTGATTCTTTCAAGATTTTTTTGTGTTTGTCTTGTTATGTGTTTTTCCATTTGCTTTTTAAACAAACTTCAATGACAAGCAGCATTCTAAAAGTAGTTTTGTAATTTTCTAAAGCAAATATTGCATAAAGTCTGATTTTCAAGAGCAAGAGAAGTGCTTGAAACACACTCACTCTTTCTGATCTGATTAGAATCCGAAATACCAATGAGAAGTGTGTTAAAAAGATGACAGATGTATTTTCTGCTAGAAAATTTCAGTCCAATACTCGGACCCGACTATGTTTCTTTGCAGATATTTTGATTCATCTCTCTCTGATGTGTTTTGCTGTGACTCTTTCTTTCTGGGTATTGGAGATCAGTGGTTCATAATCAAATTAATTTTTGTATGTTGAATTCATGATGAGTTTGAATCTGCTTTGATGTTGCATTACTCTGTAGTAATAGTATTCTTGACCCTGAAATAAAAAAATTAATCCATTATTATTTGTTAAGTAAAACTAAGCCCATTTTTATTTATTAAAATAAAAAATGTCAGACGTGCCTTGCTTTTCTTGGCACATGACTTCTCAATGTGCCCTTTTTCGACATCGTATACTGTGAGTCTGTGAATGCAACAGCTCTCCTGGAAACAAAATTTAAAAAATGATTTGAAAACAGTTATTATAACTAAATTAGATGTAAAATGTTCTGTTTTTCTTGGTTTGATTGAAAATAAAAATATTCTATCCTTAGAAAAACATGACAACATGTGCTCCCAAAAACGACTAATATTTTTCAGAGATTTTATCTAATTTATTTATTGTTTGTATTATTCAATTTGTTATATATACCAGCAAGCTGTGCTGTACAGGGTGAAGCTATGCTTTGAACAGTAGTGTCAATTGACACCACTGAACTTCAAATTTTTGATAGAGTATATGTAAAAAATTATGAGTATCTACAAATTGAACGTAGTGGGCTAAATAAACTAAATTAATTTTTAAACTTTTATAGATTGACCCCAGTAGGTAAAAACAAATCAAACTTTATTCAGAAATGATACAGAAATAAGTCACATAGTAGTGTACATATTTACTTATTGGTGTTGAAGTAATGGTGTTAATATCCCAATATTTTGTTTTGACTTGTAATTTCACTAGTTTGGATTACTTTTGTCAATGGGATTTGGGAATTGTGGGGACATAATTTTGGGTAGTTCACATGGCCGAGGTTGTTAGCCGAGGTGCCACGTGGGCGGACCATGATGCTGAGATATGGTGCGATAATACCGGAATCTAAGATATTTGGATAGAGGACTAGAGTCCTAGATTGGAAGAGGACTTCAGTTTGGATAAAAATAAGACTCTTAGAGAGTTTATCCCAATCCTACTGGGAGTCCAAGATTAGCAGTAATCCAGAGTCCATTGAAGTAAGGCTTCTATTGGCACTAGGTTTGTGTTGGCTATAAAAGGGAGTTACCCTCATGGGTCTAAGGTATGCTTTTTATGCTCTATCTAGTGAATTAAGCACTATTGGTTATCTTTGAGAGATATTTTACTGACTTGATCATTGGAGTGCCCCCGGGTGGACGAACCACCGCGGGATTCTTATATTTCTGTGACAGGTTGTTCGGGCTTAATCTATTCTGCCAGTGCTCTCCAGCTGAGTTCCCCCTTTTGGTTGTGTGGTCAGAAATCAACACCTACAATTTGGCGCCATCTATGGGAAATTAAGGAGAATAGATGGCCAACAACGAGCAGGGAGAAAAGATTGGGGACGACATCGCTAATGGAGGTGGTAAACTTGCCAATCTAAACGTGGAAGAAGAAAACCGTAATGAAGGAGCACGAGATCAGAATCCCGAGGAGAATAACATCGGCTAAAAGGGAGACGCACCGAAGAAAGCAGGCCGAGATAAGTACTACCGTAAAAGCAACCTTCAGGTATGGAGAGACAAATGCCAGAGAAAAGACGAGAAAACTGAAAGACATGGCAAATAAGTTGACAGATCTACAAACAATGGTCAACCTCATGATGCAGAACAACGTGATGCAGCCGACATCCCTATTACAAGACATGCCGGCACCAGCAACCAAAACCGGTGCCTAGAAAACAAGATCTCGACCTAGATGAGTAGGTCCAAAGAGACAAGAGCTCAGCCTAAGTGAGCAGATCCCGGATTCCAGATCCCGGATCCCAGATCCTAGAAGACAAGATCTCAGCCTAGAAGATTAAGTCCAAGAAGACAAGAGCTTAACCTAAGTGAGCAGATTCCGGATTCCAGTACTTGACGATGTTTCTAAACAAAACATGACAAATAACTTAGACTTATTATATGGCAGAGTTGAATTATACTTGTATATAATAGAGTTGAACTAAGTTGGCGATGTTTCTCAGCGAAACATGACGAATAACTTAGACTTATTATACGGCAGAGTGGAATTATACTTGCATATAATAGAATTGAACTAAGTTGGCGATGTTTCTAAGCGAAACATGACGAATAACTTACTCATTATATGACAGAGTTGAATTATACTTGCATATAATAGAGTTGAACTAAATTGGCGATGTTTCTAAACGAAACATGATGAATAACTTAGACTTATTATATGGCAGAGTTGAATTATACTTGCATATAATAGAGTTGAACTAAGTTGGATTAACACGGACCTGTCATATCAGCAGAATCAGACACAGATTAGAACTAAGTGCATATCAGTCAGATTAACAAAGAGACCAAGGTTGGTAACCTCGGCCAATCTTTGTTTGAATCTGACCTCGACGACAAGGTTAAAGCCACATGCTTAATGAGAGCCCAAGTGGAACTTAAGTTCATATTAGGGGGCAGAGGGCTGGAGAATGATGCTTGGAAGTTAGAATTTACAAGCTAAGATTGGTTTAACACTTGTTAAAATTTTAAGAAAAATTTACAAGTTGAAGTTAAGCCGAGGTTATGTCAAAGGAACATTGGTTTAACACTTGTTGAAATTTTAAGAAAAATTTACAAGTTGAAGTTAAGCCGAGGTTATGTCAAAGGAAAATTGGTTTAACACTTGTTGAAATTTTTAAAAAAAAATTACAAGTTTAAGTTTAGCCGAGGTTATGTTAAAGGAAGTTGGTTTAACACTTGTTGAAATTTTAAGAAAAATTTACAAGTTGAAGTTAACCCAAGATTATGTTGAAATAATAGAAGACAGAGGTCCTGATAAGTAAAGAGTGAAGTGGCAAGTTGTAAATAGCACTTGTGAAAATATTATTTTCAAGTGTTAGGTCAAAGCCGAGATAAAACTGCTAGTGGGTACAGCCGAAGTATTTCGCACCAAGAAGATTACACAGTTAAGGTGTACATTGAAGACATGCAAAATATTCTAAGTATGAAAACATGTAAAGCATAGAAGAAAAGCGGTAAGCATACATGATGAAAGCAATATTCAACACTTGGAAGAAAATAAAAGGCTTGCATTGAAAAGGGACAGCTTGTTCAAATACATAAACAAGCACATCGGTCTGACAAAACAGATACTGTTCAAAACAGAGAAGAAAATTACAAAGAAAAAGACAGCTGGGCAGACTTCTCAACCGTGATTTCGGCATCGATTTCTAAAAGAGTCTGGTCCAGGCTTTTTGCAGCGGTAGTGATCTCGGTTTCAGAAGTGTTGGCTTTCTTTGGTGAGGTGCTCTTGGAGACCTCATCCTCGTCCTTCTCAATCAAGTCCAAGACTTGATCATTTACAGTAGAGGACGTTGCCCCAGTAACAGAGTAGGGGACTTGGCCCCAGCAGCAGCTTTAGATTCTTTCTCGGCAACCTCAGCCTCGGCCTTTTCCTTGTCTCCGGCCTCCTCGTCATCGGCCTCTTCTACTTCCTTGGCCTCATCCTCAGATTGATTGGGTGACGAAGGGAAAGTGACATTGAGCTGACCTATATCATGGAGGGGAGAGTCCTCAGGGACAAACATCTTTTTGAGGGCCGTCATCTAGTCAAGATAGTAGCCTTTGTTGCAGGCCATGTTGACTTGTTTTTTCAGCCTTAGCAATGGCCTCGGCTTTGGCAGCAGTAACTTGGTCCACTTGCTTCATGTGCTTCTCTTTCGAGATATTGAGTTACTGGAGGCATGAGCATGTCGGATTGACTATAAGGAGATGGAGTGGATTGCACAGTTATGACATCAGGGATGTCAACAAGAAGGTTTTCTACGACAAGAGTTCAACGAGACATGTCGTCGTTGGTTACGACGATGGTTACTCACAGATAAAGCGATTGAAAAATTATCAAAGTCTAAGGCTGGAAGCTTAGGACCTCGGTGTTTCCTGTTCCTGGATCTAGCTACAAGATTGTCGCTATGTCGGTGTTTTCACTGCCATTGAAATAGTGGGTTGATACGTGGAGCAATTGATGAAGTGCTTGGCTGCTAGTCTGGTTCAGCTAATAGAGTTTGAACCTGGGGCACGAATGGATTATTCATGGCAATGAATGCTTCAAGAACAACGATGATGGTTTGCAGAGGCAAAAAGAGAGAGTCTGGGGACACAGATAGAGGCAAAATAAAAAAGATGGCAAAAAGTTATGATTTCGAGTCCTTAGGCGACGTGCTCGTGCTGATGTTAGACGGCTGGGGGCAAAACTGATGCGACACGATGGAGATGTGATTAGTACACTCCAATCTGATGATGATCTTGATTGAGAAATGCGATCTCAATTGAGATGATCTCGGTAGAGGTAATGATCTCGATTGAGATGACGATCTCGGTTGACATGATGATTTCAGTTGAGATGTTGATCTCGGTTGAGATGTTGAATTTGGATGGGAGCAGAACTTGTTTATTCTTGGTTTCTTATGAGATGATACTAGGATCTTGATGTTCTTGAACTAGCAAGTCATGATCTCTGCTATTAGTATGATCTCTGTTGAGATGTTGGACCTGGATGAGATAGAACATGATGGTTCTTAGTTCTTAATTCTTGATTCTAGATTCTTGACGAGTGGACATATGAGTCCTTGTTTCTTGGCGTCGACAAGTCACGATCTCGGTCAAAGGAGTACATGTATAGGTTTCATCACCTCAGTTTGCCGAGATAATAGAACCTAGGGGGCAATTGTGGGGACATATTTTGGGTAGTCCACGTGGCCGAGGTTGTTAGCCGAGGTGCCACGTGGGCGGACCATGATGCCAAGATATGGTGCGATAATACCGGAATTTGAGATATTTGGATAGAGGACTGAATCCTAGATGACATCAAACTATCTATTTGGATAGAGGACTAGAGTCCTAGATTGGGAGAGGATTTCAGTTTGGATAAAAATAAGACTCTTAGAGAGTTTATCATAATCCTACTGGGAGTCCAAGATTAGCAGTAATCCAGAGTCCATTGAAGCAAGGCTTCTATTGGGACTAGGTTTGTGTTGGCTATAAAAGGGAGGTACCCTCATGGGTCTAAGGTATGCTTTTTATGCTTTGTCTACTGAGTTAAGCACTATTGGTTATCTTTGAGAGATATTTTACTGACTTGATCGTCGGAGTACCCCGGGTGGACGAATCACCGCGAGATTCTTATATTTCTGTTACAGGTTGTTCGGGCTTAATCTATTCTACCAATGCTCTCCAGCTGAGTTTTCCCTTTTGGTTGTGTGATCGGAAATCAACACCCACAGGAATATATGAAATTCGTAGAGTATTATGTGAATGTTAATGTTAAAATTGATGTATTATTGATTGATATATGTTATATATTACAAATGGTGAGGGGCTCCTTATATAGGAGATGTAGTGGAGTAGGTGGTAGTAGGTGGTAGTGGTAGGTGTGTAGTAGGTGGTAGTAGGAGGTGGTAGGTGTAGTGTTTGGTTGTTTTTTTTTTTTTGTTTGGTGTAAAATTGTGATCGGGGTTGATCCCCGGCATGAAGAAATGACAAGTTTGTGGAATGTTGGTGGTGTTATTTTGTGTTGTTATTTTGTTTAAGAAAAAATAAAAGAAAATAAAACAATGGATAAAGAAAATAGATAAAAATATTTGTGGATGGGTCATATGAAAAACATCGGTGTGAATGGATTTTTTTATTTTTATTTTTTATTTTTATTTTTATTTTTATTTTTTTGTGAAATAAGGAAGATAAAATAAAATAAATAAAAGGGATAGTGGGATCAGATGGAGTGGTGTGAAAGTGGAGTGTTTGGGTAATATAGTATAATAAAAAGAGATATATGTATATATATAAAATAAAGAAAGTTGGGGAGAGTGGGAAGCATAATAATGAGTCTGTATGTGAGAGGTTGGTTCCCCCCTGTATCAATGATGTGGGTGTGTATGTGCTAGCCAAGAGAAAGAGATAGGTGGGTTTCTTTTTTTCTTTTTTTTTTTTTTGTTTTTTTAGAGAGAGAGAGAGAGAGGCCGTGTGTGTGTGATGACAGCGGTGGTGTGGTTGAGTGTCTTCTCTCTCCCAACCGAGAGTGAAAGAGAGAGAGAGAAAGTCAGAGCCCTCCACTGCTGTTCAGTTCGGAGACCACGAAACTGTTGAGAATCTGTTACAGAGAGACCCAACTCTAATCAACCAGACCACAGTCTACGATCGCCACTCTTCTCTTCACATCGCTGCTGCCAATGGCCAGATCGAGATTGTTTCTATGCTTTTGGATAGATCTGTTAAACCAGATTTGTTGAATCGTCATAAGCAGACTCCGCTTATGCTGGCTGCGATGCATGGGAAGATCTCTTGTGTGCAAAAGCTTATTGAAGCTGGAGCTAATATTTTGATGTTTGATTCAATTCATGGAAGAACCTGCTTGCACTATGCTGCTTACTATGGTCATTCCGAGAGCAAGCTCGAGTGGGTGTATCAATTCTGCTTGACGCCTCACAACACCAGCAGAACCAATTCTGGTTGCATCTTCCCTTGGTCCACTGTTGGTAACAGCATCAACAATGATTTGAATGGGATTTAGATCAGTCAGCAGATGGATAATTTCCATTGCATGCTTAACAATGCGGACCGCCATAAGCTTCTTGCCATTGTTTCGCCCATGCATCATCAAAGAGTTGGTCAGCCTCTCCACAATTGGGCACTGGGCTTTCCTAAACCGCTTGACTGAGTACCTTCCAGCTGTGTGAGGCACATAAGTTGCGTGCTTTACAGGATTCACAGCAATGTAATCTGTTACAGACATGTCACTGATCTGAATGTCATCAAAGACCCATCTGTTGAAGAGCTTGACATCGGAATGAGATTGATCCTTGTCCTGATTAGCAGCAGCACCAACATTCGTTTGAGTTACAACAGCCGCCTCCATTACGATGCAGGGCCGACAGAGAGAGAGGCCGCCGATTGGAAGCAACAAGTGAAACGATGAAGAGAAGAAGAAACAGAGAGGATTTGGGCAATGATGGGAAGGTATGTGTAGAAAATAAGCGGAATAGGTATAAGACTCTTAGAGAGTTTATCCTAATCCTACTGGGAGTCCAAGATTAGCAGTAATCCAGAGTCCATTGAAGCAAGGCTTCTATTGGGACTAGGTTTGTGTTGGCTATAAAAGGGAGGTACCCTCATGGGTCTAAGGTATGCTTTTTATGCTCTATCTAGTGAGTTAAGCGCTATTGGTTATCTTTGAGAGATATTTTACTGACTTGATCGTCGGAGTACCCCGGGTGGACGAATCACCGCGAGATTCTTATATTTCTGTTACAGGTTGTTCGGGCTTAATCTATTCTACCAATGCTCTCCAGCTGAGTTTTCCCTTTTGGTTGTGTGATCGGAAATCAACACCCACAGGAATATATGAAATTCGTAGAGTATTATGTGAATGTTAATATTGACAGATTATGTAGAACTAAAAATATGATATATGACATTGATGATGCTTTGTTAAATGACTCCGCTAAAGGAAATTTCTAACTACGCCACTGGTGTTGTACCTTGCATTATGTTAGGCAGATGGACCTAAAGAATTATTGTCATACTACTCACTTAAAGACTAATACTAGATTACTGTTAATCACGAAAAAAAAAAAAAAGAAAAGGATAAAGCCATTTGTGTTTTCAATTTGGATGAAGTACTAATATTTTGTTTTTAATTTGTTATTATAGTCCGTGCCACTATATCTCTCTGAAATGGCCCCGTACAAGTACAGAGGTGCACTCAACATTGGGTTTCAATTGTCAATCACAATTGGTATATTGGTGGCCAATGTGTTGAATTACTTCTTCGCCAATCAAAGGCGGTTGGGGATGGCGGTTGAGCTTGGGAGGTGCCATGGTCCCTGCCCTCATAATCACAATCGGATCATTAGTCCTTCCTGAGACACCAAACTCAATGATTGAGCGTGACAAGTACAAAGAAGCCGAAGCCAAACTCAAAAGAATTCGGGGAATTGAAGATGTTGACGAAGAGTTTAATGACCTTGTGGCGGCTAGTGAGGCATCTAAGAAGGTGGAGCATCGGTGGAGAAACCTTTTGCAAAGAAAATATAGACCCCACCTTACCATGGCCATCCTTATTCCCTTCTTTCAACAACTTACTGGCATTAATGTGATTATGTTCTATGCACCAGTTTTATTCAAAACAATTGGTTTTGGAAGCGATGCCTCACTCATGTCTGCTATGATCACCGGTGGAGTGTTTGTTATTGGAACCCTAGTTTCAATTTATGGTGTTGATAGGTGGGGGAGGAGATTTTTATTCATTGAGGGCGGTATTCAAGTGCTCGTCTGCCAGGTATGATATCATTTGTTTTGGTGTGTTGATTAACGTTTGAAGAGCATGACTCTACTGCTTAGTTAAAATAAAAGCGCCCATTTGATTCAATTCATGAATTAACCTGCTACGTTATTTATTGACATATTTTTTGTTATGGACAGGTTGTAGTTGCAGCTTGCATTGGTGCTAAATTCGGAATAGATGGGAAGCCCGGTGACTTGCCCAAGTGGTGTGCTATTGTTGTGGTGCTCTTCATATGCATCTATGTTGCCGGTTTTGCTTGGTCTTGGGGACCTCTTTGTTGGTTGGTTCCTAGTGAAATTTTTCCACTTGAAATCCATTCAGCAGCGCAGGGTATCAATGTGTCGGTCAACATGATTTTCACATTCACCGTTGCTCAAGTCTTCTTAACAATGCTCTGCCACTTGAACTTTGGTTTGTTCCTCTTCTTTGCGTTCTTCGTGGTGGTGATGAACATCTTTGTGTTCTTCTTTGTGCCTGAGACAAAGAACATCCCAATCAAAGAGATGGCCATTGTATGGAAGGAAGATTGGTTCTGGTCGAGGTTCATGACCGATGATGTTGATTATCCTTCTAGTGGAGCCATTGAGATGAGCAAGGGAGGGCATTTCGCTAAATATGTGTGACCGACGCTGAATTTATATAGAATTCGCGGCATTGTTTACTTTGATGATTTATTTTTCTCCATTTAAACTAACCTCATGTGCTATGTGAGCTCACTAGAGACTTGTTTTGTTTTAAAGAACAATTTCCATCTTCTCCTTCATTGCATTGTTGATTTTAGAGTTTCCAGCATACAATTTAGGGAAAATTACAGATTAGTATTTTTAAAAAAGTAATTACAGATTAGTAGTAAACTTTACTAACATTAATAATTAACTCACAAGTTTTTCAATGAATTTGAAATAATTTATTTAAAAATTGTAATTTTCCTTGCATTGTTGTGTTTAGGGTTTTTAGTACATGTTGAACATGTTCATAAGGAAACAGAATTTTGCATTAATTTATAGGGCATAGTTTTATAGTATCTATTTCTTAAACTAAAATATGTAAGATTTAACTAAAAATAACACTTTAATTGAAATAAAAGTACTGAATATTAAAAAAAACAACAGTAATGGCTATCAATTCATGAAACCGATGGTCATTCATAGAAAGAAAACCCTAAATAGAGAGAAACGAAGTTCATCTTCTTTATTTCGTGCACGTAAACTATATGAAAAGTTGCGATGATGATCAATTAGTTCTTCCAACTTAAATTGCAGTTCCATTAATGCAAAGCCATTGACCGAGAAATAGGCTGGAACAGTTGAGATTGGGGTTGATCGAATCAAAGTATATGGTAGTCAAATTGAGTGCCTGAATAAGCTCAAAGCAAGTGTCTCCGCTCTCCACACCGACCACGGTGTTGCAACTTGGTAGAGTATTTGGGTTTGTGAAGTCAACTGTTGTTACATTTGGAGATTAAAACACAAAAATATGTTACTATGTCACAAAACTTGTAATTGTAGTCTTAATTAATGATGCCCTTTTTTTAAACCATTGCATACTCAAATGAACCTAGAATGCTAGGAAATATGGTACTGTTACCATAACATTCTACAATCAGTAATGCTATCAATACAATATATATAAAGAAAAATATATAGAAAGCACTGCTTTTATCCAACATGGTATTTTGTGTACTTTTTTGGGGAAAAAAGAAAAACAAATGTATTATGAGTTCGTGTAATAATATGAAATCAGGGGAAATTATAAAATGTTCTCGGAATACTACGTACTTCTTAATTAATTATCATTCAATATATTTTCCTCATATTTTCAATAATCTAACATAATATTCCACCTACCCATTTTCTTCACCAATCACAATATTATAACAAAAAAAAAACACTTGTCTATATTCTAAAATTACTGAATAATTATCCCAAAATCAAAAGAAAGAAGAGAAATTAAACCATATTTCTCAAGAGAGGCTAGCAGCCTTCTATTCTAGAAGGGAAAAAAAAAATTATAAAAAAGTTGATGGAAAACATCGCATTCATCTTGATGGAATGTGCCCCTACCCAAGACGTTCAGCACGATGCACTTTTCTAAAGAAAAAGAAAAAATTGTGTTTGTATTTTGAGTAATGATTTTATTTCTGGTCACGCAGTAGAATAAGGGACAGAATCATGATTTTAACTTCGCGAGGGGCAAGAGAGAGATTTTCACCAACTAATAAAACTTTTGTATTTCTAAGAAAATATGAAGGGGAATTACAATTCAATAGTGTTTTAAAAAAATATTTACAGATATATGAATTTTTTTTGAATTTTAATTATTAATATTCATAAAATTTATCATTGATGTGTAATTTTTTCTACATTTACGCTGAATAATAATTTCCTAAATATGAACATGTTTTACAAGTTTAATCAAGAAAAATATATTAAGATCAATAATACTAAAACAGAAATGATATAGACCCCATTTTTTTTTTACCCTCACAACCCCCACAAACACATGTCAACCAGAGATAGAAAGAAAAAAACAAAACAAAACAAAACAAAAAACAAAAAATTTGCCAATCACAATACAATGGGGTGGTGAGAGTTCTCCAAAAAGGGAGTCCCAACCTTTTTCTTACTAGACAAATAAAATAGAATGACATGCCTTTAATGCTTATTTCATTTTAAACTAAAACACTCATTATTAATATTATGACTCATAATTTCAAAAATATCACTGTCATCATGCTATTATGTATAAAAATTATGTTTGTAAATCATTTTCTTGTTAAGATTATAGACTAAGTTTATTCATGAAAAATAAAAAATATTCAACCTTAACAAAATATGAACAAAAGAAGTTTAATTACGCTATCAGTGGGATTCGACACTATTTCAATTCTCAAAAATTGTTTAAAATTGATTCAGAATTAAATTGCATTCAATTTTCTTCTCAACATACAAAATCAGCTAAGAGTCAAGATTCAATTTTCTTCTCAACAGACAAAATCAGGTAAGAGTCAAGACAAATAATTTTAATGTACAAAACTACAGAGTCAAGATAAGCAAATTTCATTGCAATCTTCCTTTCTAAGCCACAAAATAATATTATTGTGGTAAGTAAAACATTCCATCCATCATCTCTTATTTTTTTTGAAAATGATCTTAGTTGATGAAACAAAATGTATGATATATAAAATATCTTGGATATAAGATTTTTTGTTTTGTGACTATATCGATCAAACAATAATGTTATAATGACCACTTTATTTTATATATCATCACATGTATCACTACTACATTAATAACAAACATGAGTGATAGACCCATTAAATCAATAAAATGACAGTATATGAGATGGAATATGAGATGATATATAAAGTGCTATTTTGGCAAGAGGGAGAAACGCAGCGTTTGGCTGAGAACGCCAGACGCCAAACGCGTGTGTTTTTCAGCAAAATTTGATTTGGGATTGTGATTATAATCACAATCATGAAATTACGATACTACCCTTAGTGTTGTTTAGGATTACATATTGCAATAGGGCATTTTGGTAATTTTATAGTTGTACACATGACATGACAACTTAAAAAAATATTATCTCAAAAAGTAAAAAATTAATTTTTTACCAACTTCTCAAGTCATTTTATGAAAAAATCAAAAAACTTGGTTAAAAGCAAAAAAGCTGCTTTTTACCACCTTCTCAAAATAGGCCAAAGTATGATAATGTAATGTGATCATCATAAGATTAGTAGTTATTAAAAATAGAATAAAAAATATCCAGATCTTTGCATCTTTAGTAAATTAAAAGACTAGAGGAGACAATTTACAAATCTATCCGAAAAACAAAAAACAAAATTATAAATAAAACATATATAGATTTTTTTTCCCCACTCTACAAACTCGAACGCTCACTTTATTGGCATCTAAGTGTCCGTTCACAACTACTTAAATTACAATTCAAGTGTCAATTAATGATATTCAAATAGAAAATTTTACATAAAAGTAACGTAAAAATAGCATTTTCTTTGTATTTGTATTGTTTTAATATGAAGCAACAAGACTTACAGCTAAGGATTGATCTGGATTCGGCAATTGTGATGATGATGTGAAGAACAGAGAGAATCAAAACCATGTTTATAAACATGGTTATTTTGTTGCTTGAATTGGCCATTTTTCTATCTTTTCTTCTTCTTCTTACTCACAAAATGTGAAAAATCTCTCTTTTGTATAGCTTCCTTCAAATCCTCCAATGTATAGATTGTTTTCAAGAAATAGACAAAACACACATAAGCCCAAAGGCATCATTGGTCTGAGTTTTTGATACAGGCCGGCGGCATCTCTAAACATAGGAGAAACAAGGGATAATTATTGGTAAGTTGTATTGAATGGACTTATTTACTCACAAGTTTTTAATAATTATTTATTTATTTATTTACGTATTTGTTTCTCATTTTAATAATAAGAAAGTGTCGAAACTTTTTAGATATATTTTGTGTTTATAGAATGATCTTTTGATGTTGATAATAATACTGATAAATTTATTAAAGTGATAAAAAAAAATCAGGACAATTTGACTTTTGTTTGTGAGTTTTGATTAATTCTTAATTTGTAATTTTTTTGGTATTAATTTGTATTAAAATATGATGCGAAACCATAAGTAATTGAATTGTACTTTTTTAAAAATATATTTTTTAGTGATTAATTTATTACTGAAAGTTGGAGTAATAAGACTTTCTAATAAATAAATCCAATTTACTGCATCTGCTCATAACTATCCTGAGAAACGAAGCTCATAGTAATCTATCAAATTTCCTTAGGATCATATTAAAATGCACAAGTTTCATGTAAATTATGATTTACATTGATCTTAGTTATGAATCATTATTGTATTTTGTTAGGAGCCATTGTGGTCATCAACTATCACATTTTCAAATCAAAGTTGATTATGTGACTGACTTAGTTATATCTTTGTCTAGCATGAGTTATTTTGACTAAATTAGTCAATAAAAACAAAACAGTTTGATTTAGCTAATAAGATAAAATATCACGTCTAAATTATAATCATTTTATTTTTTTTTCTCACAACTATCAAATCAACTATAAAAAAAAAATCAAAATTTATTCCAAACATAACTTTTTTAACTAGGCTAAAATAATCAAAAAAAATAAAAAAATCAGACTAAATAACTCATACCAAACAAAAGGCTAGTTATATCCAATGTGATCTTCGATTATGACTTAAATGGTATTAGTAATGATCCAATGTAATTGTCATTAATGGCTCAAATTTATTTTTTAAATCAAACGACTGAAATTGAGAATACATATATAGTATACACATTTTTTTTTTTTAATTTAAAAATTGTGTGTAGAGGAATGTCTCATCTTATTGTTAATATAACCAAAACAATAACACTCGTAAGTTTCCATAGTTTTGTATGGAGAAATTATAGAGAATATGAACAATACATCTACAAACCAGGTATTTTTTTATACATATAAAATTGATATAAATAATTTTATAAGATGATGTAACAATATTATTCTTATAAATAAATTCATTTTTATAAGCGTTTTGGTTTAAAGCAAAAATAATACATTGAGCCACATTATTATTTATAAGAATTTTGTATAAATTATTATTTGTATATCATTACCTTTTGAAAAATTATTTCTTGTTCTTCGAGCATATAACTCCACACCATTCAATACATATCTGATGTAGGCCGAAAGGTATCACATTAAGGTCACTTAAATTATATTTATAGTCTTTCCATTTTGTTTATTTGGTAGAGATGATGTATTTTGTGCACTTGTACAGATTTGGTAAGAAATACGCAAATCCAATCAAAAAATGGTGCAAAAATAGATTGATCTCCATGCGAGAAGCGAAAAATTAGAGCCAACCACCTCACCGCACGTGCGGCCCACCACCGCTTGAGTAGCCCACTTAGGGATGCGTGCGGTGAATTTTGGGTTTGTTCTGCTGAGAATAAAAGGAAGAAAAATAGGCTAACCTAGGGTTCGAAAATTATTTGAAGAAAAAGGAAGGCTAGGGTTTGACGAGAGTGATTTCCCTTAAACTTGAAGAACAACTTCCATGGGGCCTTCTTCCTCATCCTCTTCCTCTTCCCACTCCTCCATGAGTGGCTAGTCTTTCAATTTTAGGGTTTTGATGAAACCCTAGCCATGTAAAGGGATTTTTCTTAAGCTTTTATTGTGAAACGGTTTGAATAAATGTATGGATACTATATAAGTTTATAATATTTTTATTTTTCATCTCTTCAAGTGTTTTACTCTCTCTGATTGTTTAGTGTTTTGCATACATTAGTTTTCTTTGTCGTTGTGTTCAAAGTATGAAACAAGTCATGCTACGAGAGACGGGTCGTGTGGCTATCATAGTTTAGAACAAACGTTTCGTGCTACTTGAGATGACTCGTGCCTGTACATTGAACACAACCATCCTCTTGATCAATATTTCAAACTTGTAGTTGTGAAATATTAGGTAGTTCAAATCGTATTGCAATTGATGGCCGTTGTTAAGTCTTATTTATGTGATTAATAGTGAATTCTTAGCCCTAAGATTTTTTCAAAAATTAGTATCTCAAACCCTAATTTTAATTGTCAATTTAATTACTCAATTTCATTTAATTCTCGTTTTGTCATAATATCCATCAATCCTTTAATCAAAATTGATTTAGAAATTTAACAATTAAATTAGTTTAATTTCACAATTATCTTTATGGATCGATACCTGGACTTGTCATTATTCTAAAAGAATTTGACATAATTTAATATTTAATTTTGGTGTGTGAAACAGCACGAGCGGCCCATACAAAAAAAAAAAAATGGAGTGCACGCGGCCCAAAAATCAGCGCTTGTGTGGCCCAAATGGGCGCACGAGCGGTCCAAAAAAAAAAAAAAATTATAGATTTTATTTTTTATTTACTTATTGTATATTTCTTTTAAAAAAAAAATCCCTGCAGATTTATTTATTTATTTATTTTAATTTACTTATTTTATATTTCTTCAAATAAAATTGTACAACTTTATTTCTTTATTTATTTTTATTTACTTATTTTATATATAAAAAAAATTCATGCAATTTTTATTTGTTTATTTATATTTATTTATGTTATGTTATTTTATTTTCTTTAAAAAAAAAAAAAACAAAAACAAACAAGCAAACACACCTTTAAGCCAAACCCTAGACCCCCTTTCACTATCTCTTCCCAGCACACTCTCTCTCTACCTCTCATCTTCTTCTTTTCTCTCTCTCTCTCTCAACCCCACAAATCCACAAACTCCATCCAATGCCACCATCACCAACTTCTTCTTCCTTTTTCCTTCAACTTTCACTCACCACCACCCTACCACTGGAGCATCACTATCTTTTCCGACCGGCGACCTTCCAACGGCCATTTTTTCCGGCGGATTTACATCTTCTCTTCTCCCTATTTTTTTTTCAAGGTAATCACCCACTTTTTGTTTAAATCTCTTAGCCTGCGTTTGGTTTTGTTTTGTAAATGTGATTTGAGAGTATGAGTTGTATTTTGAGTTTGTGAGTTGTAGAATTATGATTTGAGTGTAGAAAATTTATTTGGTTATGATTTTTAAATAGAGTGTTGAATTGTGTTTTGAAAATGTATTCTATCAATATCCATATTTTTTATCAACAATAATAACCAAACTATTTTTAAAATACTGAAATTAAAAATTGATTTTTTTTGTCAATTATTTTTTTTTAGTAATTTTTTTGAATAATTGTTGTTTCGAAATAATTTTTTCATTTTAAAATAAACCGATGTCAATTTTTTTCTGCCAATTAATTTTTCTATCGATATCCATATTTTTTATCAACAATAATAACCAAACTATTTTTAAAATACTGACATTAAAAATACCATTTTTTTGTCAATTAATTTTTTTTCAAATCTTTTTTTTGAATAATTTTTTTTTCAAATAATTTTGTCATTTTAAAATAAACCTATGTCAATTATTTTGTGTCAATTAATTTTTCTATCAATTTATTTTTTACGCCTGTACAAACATCTTGTAAAATACGTTTTTAATTTTTTTCTAAAATAATTGATAGAAAATCTGAATAAAATCTCACATTTCTGAACCTTTTGAACCTCACCTTAATTGATGCCAGTTCATCTTCAGAGAGGAGGACAACCGGCCGGTCATCCCCGAGGTCTACCGGCCGGTCATCCCCAAGATTTGATACACAGATGAGGTTCACGTGAAACAGAGACGATGGAAGAGAAGGACATGGAAGTTTTTCAGAAACGTTGAAAGTGGAGATACAAGCTGCCAAACGGATTTTCAAAATCTAATTTGAATTAACACGCTGAATCAACTTTTGAACATCCTATTCAAACGTGAAGCGAGAGTTCACGTGTAGAATCACGTTTTAAATTCACAACCAAACACAATCTTAGTTTTCACTTGTAATATCAGTGTATTGGTAGTTTAATAGTGATTTTTAAGCATTGTTCTTCATCTTCATCCCCACATAAAAAATAAATATTAAAAAAAGTGAAAAAGAGTGTATCTGGGGAACAACATCAACACGTGCTGCCTCCGTCGGTGGACGTGCGGCACGTCGGATTTCCCAAAAAAAAATTGTAGTAATAATACTACTCCCTCCGTCCCAAAATAATGATCCCTTTTGGGGAATCTAACTTTTTTTGGTAGTACAATTATTGTACTTTTAAAAAGTTGGTTTTCCAAAATTACCCTTTGATAGTACACTTATTGGTAGTTTAATAGTGATTTTTAAGCATTGTTCTTCATCTTCATCCCCACATAAAAAATAAATATTAAAAAAAGTGAAAAAGAGTGTATCTGGGGAGCAACATCAACACGTGCTGCCTCCGTCGGTGGACGTGCGGCACGTCGGATTTCCCAAAAAAAAATTGTAGTAATAATACTAATAATAATCTTCTAGCTTGTTGTAGCTTATTTTTATATAATATAGTTGTTTAATTTAATTATTTAGTTAGTGATTCTTATTTTTTTTAATTTTAATTTAATTGTTTAGTTAGTGGTTCTTGTTAGTTTAATATGTTAGTACATTGTTTTTATTTTTTTTTAATTGTTTAGTTAGTGATTTAGTTTTATTTAGTGATTTAAATGTTAGTTTAATCGTTTAGTAATTTTTTATTTTTATTTGTATTTTCTGTTTTTTTTTTCTTTTCCTTTCCTTTACTAACTTAATTGCATGCTTTGGTTTGCCTATTTTTCTTTAAGTTATTTTGTTTATTTTATTTTGATTTTCTCTAAAACAAACAAAAAAAAAATTTGAAATATAAGTAATCTAGTGGTGTAATGACAATGAGGTTTTGAGAGATTTGTTTATGCATGCGCTATTTAATGAGTGCTAATATAATAGTTCCACGTTTTTTGTTGTGTTGGTTGTGTTATTTTGTACAGATATGTCTACATCATCCCGCCAAACCAATGCTCACCTATCGCCTCCACTACTCCTCCCTGATGCTCTAGCTAATCCTAATGATGTTCCGGTAGAGCCCGTCGCCTCCCCAGCCCCAGCGCCACCGCCATTCCGTATGACGCGGGTGCAATATTAAGCTCTTTTGGATAATCAAGCCGCTATTCTGCAATTTGTGGTTGATCTCCGGGCAGACTTGCAAGCATATCGAGATCACTCGCAGATGGTCTTTGATGGGTATCAGCAGTCAATTGCATCTCTACAAACTGATTTCTACATATACCGCGAGTCGAGGCAGCAGTTGTTTGATCAGCTTGGCGCTAGGATTCATAATGAGGCGTTCGAGACTCGGACACTAATGCATGCCCTATTTGGGCAGCATTTTTCGCCACCGCCAGATCCACATCAGTAATATCCATTGTATTTTCTTTGTTTTAGTTCTTTATTTATTTTTGTTTTGTTTTGTTTTCTTTTTCTTTTTCTTTTCCTTTTATCCTGTACTGTTCCAAAAAAAAAAAAGTGTGTATGTGTTTGGTGTGTCCTTGCCTCGCTGGATGTGCGCCTACGCCGTCTAGTAAGATCCTCTCTCTCTCATTTTACTATCTACTTTCCAATTGCTTACATTGAAGACAATGTTGTATTCCAATTGGGGGGTGAGGGTTTTTATAAAAACAATTTAAGTTTGTACTTGCTGCACTTGATTGCACCATTTCACTTGATATTCACTTTGTGCTAGTATGGTAGTGATATGAACATATGTTAGATGGGGAATATAGTAGGCTTATTGGGCAGATACTCACATGTGATGTTTGTATTAAGAGAGTTGTTTATGTTTGGGGTATTAGTACATTTGTCATAAGTATGCCTTGATTCACATGAATACACTTTCATAATAATGACCTCTCTATTCTAATCCCTGGTACACATTATTGATAATTGCTAGGGTTGCAGAAAAGAATAAATGAGTAACCAAGATTCTTAAATAAATAGATAAAACACTTGACTTGTTTGGGTTCGTAACCTCTTTAACTCGAGTTATTAAGCCAGTAGGGGTGTCTCTACACCTAATGCCCTAAAACCACCTGGTTTGGAAGTCATTGGTCCAATACTTGCTACATGGATTAATTAGAAAGCTTAAGGAACCTAGACATTGCACAGTTAAGGAAAAATAAGGAGAATGACTTGTTCGGATTTGTAACCTTTTCAGCTTGAGTTATTAAGCCTGTAGGGATGTCTTCACACCTAGTGCTCTAAAATCGTATGGTTTGTGAATCATTGGCCCAATGCTTGTTACATGGGTTGATTAGAAAACTTAATGGATCAAAATATTGCACAATCTTTCTAAAAAAAATAAATAAATAAGAATGTTGGTTGTAACAGTTTAGTTTTTCTATATATGTTAGGTGTTATTATGAGTTACACTAGGCTATTATAGTGAACAGTTAACTAGTATGGAGATTGCACTTTACACCGAGGGTACTGATGATGAATCTACTAGTATTCATAAATACAAGGGACTTTACTTTTGTATTAACTGAATTGTGGTTTTGGCTCAATAGATTCCTTCATGTTTGTCCACTGTGCCTTCAATGAGTCATCATGTCTTAATATCATACTGTAGTGACACATAAGTTGATTGTTACGTGGAATGGTGTGGTTAATTGTTGTTGAGCAAATATGAATATGTTGACGTTTGTGGGTATCATTTTTGGAAACCCTCACGAGACTATACTCCTCCACTTGGGGTAAAGGCTTGTTGCATATGCTAAATGCAATCGTGATTCCTACGAAAGTGGCTTAGAGTATTTTCTTTTTCTTATTTCTATTATTTTGCTCAAGGACTAGCAATATTCATTGATGGCAAAAAAAAAAAAAGAAAAAGAAAAGAAAAGGCATATATTTAGAATTTGATAGTTTTTTTAGAATAGGTATTTGAAACTAGTTGGAAAATCTATCCTGCAATGAATTTACTATTTTTTTTTTAATCACAACAATACATATTAGAAAAGTATATATTTAATTATTTGAGTTAGAACTAAAATAAAATGACATTAAAATCACATGTTCAAAGTTTCGCTTTAACTTAAAATATAAATGATTAAATTACACCTTGTACCTTTAATATTTTACTATTTTCTTGCTTTGGTGTTTTAATTTTTTTTTCACTTTGACTTTTCAAGTTTAATTTTTTTTCTTATTTACTCCTAAAATTATTTTTTTATCTAATTTTAGACAGAATTTAACTTTAAAAATAAATTGAGAAAAACTTAAAACGTGAAGAATCAAAATGAAGAAAAAAAAAATTAAAGAACCAAAATGATAAAAAATAAAAATAAAAAAAGAAGTAAATTACAAATCCCCTCATGCAATTTTAATATCAACCGTTGAATTACAGATAAAGACAAATCCATGGAGAATCTTTAAGCCATCGCATTCAAGTTGAAAAGTACTTGACAATGCCACATGGGCACTTTGGGTTTCTCAGTCAAAGTGACAGCTGTCATATTACTAAAACAAATGACTTTTTTAAGCTTAATACGCGGAGTAATCAAACCAAAATGATAATTAATTTATGATTTAGGGGCGGGGAAGCCCAGACTCCTTCCAAACAGCTACCATGCATATTTGCCACAATTGCATTGGTCAGCTATTATTTAAATACTTAAGTATTATTTGTCATAATTTAAAAAAATTAAAAAATTAAAAATTTACTATCCTATTTAAATAATAAAAAATAATCCAGACTTCCTTTTTCCCCACACCCTTGACCCCCTCTCTCTATCTCATTGGTTAGATTTTTTTTTTTTCCCTTTCTCCTCCAATCACCAACCGCCACATATGTGTGGAGATGGTTGGGGTGGTGATTGGAGGGAGTCTCAATCAAAACCCTTAAATAATATCATCTTACAAAAATGTCTAAGACCTCCTTTTTTTTTTCACCCCTCTCTCTCTCATTGGTTGGATTTTCTTTTTTTTTCTTTTTTTTTCCCTTGTCCTCCAATCACCACCCGTCACGTGTGTGTGGGGGCGGTGGGGGTGGTGATTGGAGGGGGTCTCCATCACTCATCATCATCTTATTTAAATCATACCACCTCTCTACCACATCACTTCAAACTCAACTCATATTTTATAAAAAATCAAAAAGTACACTTATTTAAATTATTCCAAACCACGGGCAAATTATTTTGCCTATATAATAATAATAATAATAAACTACAAAATCACAAAAAGATAATAAAAAAAAAAAGTTACAAAATTACCAAATTGACCCATATACAAACAAAAAGTCAAAAAAATATCATTTCCAGGTGGAGGGTAATTTTGTCATTCCTTAGCCAAAAAAATCAAAAAAGTTAAACAATCAAAAAAGTCTCAGACTAAAAAAGTCAAAAAACAACTAAAAAAGCCAAAACCAAACGATCCCTTAATAAGTTTAAAATGCTTTTAAATTTTATTTATTTATTTTTTGAATCAATTAATCATAAGTCCAAATTAAGTAGTTTGATTTTTTAGAGCATATATAATTAAGTCAAGCCGAGTATTGTTCAAATTTAATTTGATAATTTAATAAATTTTAAAATGTATTGAAACTGGTCTTATTTACATAATGAGTTGATTTCAAAAACACAATATGAACTTAGATTATTTGATTTGTAGAGTTGTTTTAAAAATTAGTTTTTTAGAGATATTTTAATTTTTTAAAAAAAAAAAAAAAAAAAAACGTGTAAAAAAATAAAAGTTCACTTTTTTAATAGATTTTTGCTTAAAAAAACCACCTTTTAACTATGCTACAAAACAAAGTATTCATCTTTTTATGGATGAATAGCTCCTTTCTTGCATATGTATTAGGAGATGTGTATGAAATGGAACAGCATCAGTTGCCAGCAGAAAATGGTTTCATAAAAACTGAGCCTCCGTTTGGTAATATAGTTGGGACTAATTTAACTCACTAAAAGATAATATTAAAATATATATATATATATATATATATATATATTACATCTAAGTTATAATCATTTTATTTTTTATCTCACAAAATTATAAATAAATAAAAATTCATTACAAACGAAATTTTTTTTAATCAGACTAAAATAACTAAAAATTCTGACTAAAAAAATCCTTTCCAAACCAAACTTGAATAGCATTTGGAAATTTCCTGTTTCAACAAACTGAAATCCCATCACACCTGACCATCCATGGTTTCAAAATCGATCAAGTGAGTTGAATAGATTAACGGATGACTACAAATCGAATTGGTAAATTAAACAAGTCCTAATTTTGGGTGAATTAAAAATATTTTTTTTGGGTGAATAAACAAATCCTAATTTTGCACCCAAAAAAAGATATCTTTCAATTTTTTATTGAACAAATCCAAATTTTTTGCAAGAGAAAATAACAAATCAGTGTAACTTCTAAATGAAAAATACAAATTAATGGTAAACTTTATCAATCAATGTTATAATTAAAGTATTAATGTAATATTTTTCTGAAAGTACCACTGAATGGTAATTTCCCATTTTTTTAACTGAACAATAAAAACAGCAGCATCACAACCAACCATGATGGACAACAAACACACACTAAACCAACAACACAACATCCCCATGTCAAACAAGAAATTTTCTTCAATCACACTTCAAAATGACCATATATACTCATGCAATTTTAAGACAACGGCCATGTCGCCAACAATAAATAAAAAAAAAACATTGCACGAGCATCAAAGATCAGGAAAACAATGAAGGTAATTTTCAAACCAAACTGAATCACAATGCATGAGCTTATAAACAAGAACGATTTAGTGCCTTACATCCCATAGAGAACAATATTTGTTATCGAAGAAGTAATTCATTATATCTACAGGTTGGTGGCAACACGCCAAGTAATACCTTTTACAAGATCCAACTCGCGTCTTTTACATGAGAAAATAATAGCCTTGACCAAACTCTTTGAACAGAACATCCGTTGCACTAAGCCAAAAGATAACAGGTAGAAAATGACTCATCAAGCAAAGGCAGACTCTTAAACTTTTTTCACTCCCGGTAAAGCACTTGAAAGTAGAACAAAGCTCCAATTTAAACAGAGTCTTCAACCTGCTGTCGTGCAAGGTATCTTTCTCTTCGTTCTTTCTAAAAAATGGGGATAGAATAGGAAAAAAAGATGAGAATACTCTTAAATAGTGATAATTTTATAAAGAAGGAATTCACAAGTTTCATTAGCTAGCTTGCTCACCCATTCATCAATGACAAGTCCTTCACCAATAATCTTTGGGCCGGTATCCTCTGGAGGTTTTTTGCGAGCCTCGAGTGCAGCCTCAGCCTCAGCCAACTGGCGCTTAAGTTTTTCCAGAGCCTTGAAAGAAATAAGTAGGCACAATTTCATGAATTATCATATCATATTACATAACTATTGACTACACATAATCATGCACATAAGCATGTGAATAACCACAGCCACAATAGCAAGGGCATGAATGCAAATGCACTCATATTTGGCATGTATAGATGTACTTACAGGGGTAGGACGCTCCACATCAAGAAAAACAACACGCAATATCTGCTCTACTGCCACTTGATCCTTTTGCTCATCAAACTACAACAAATACAAGATCTTTTTCAGTGATAACATCAAAAAAGAGGATTTCATAGAGGTAATGTGACAAAAGCAGTCAAGCAATTCGAACTTCTAATTGGAAAATCTCATGGATTTATTATAAATAGCCATTAGTTTTTCCACGTTCTGCAAAACCATCCATCAAGTAAGGACAAGCGCTCTCCAATCCAATAAAGTTGAACTACAGAGCACAACTATTTCTAAAAAGTGAAAGGCAGGAAATTTTCTCATATGCAAGACTCATTTGCCTATTCATGACAGCAAGCTAGTGATAGCCAGTTTAATGAATGATTGGACACCTGGAAAACCCCTTCAACTAATAAGGCTTCACATAGCTAAAGCGTGTAGTCTCTATAGATTTGGTAAGAAATCAAATATGGACCAGATTTAAGTAAATAAACCAAATTACACTAACGTGATCACCAAGATTGAAAAACTCAAAGTTCAAACCCGCATAAGAAACAGAAGCAGCAAGAAAGGTGTGTGAGACGCACCAGCTCAGGCACATAGTCCATCACTCCTTTCACCTTTAGGCTCATAATCTTAAACTTCACTTTGCTCTTCTGATCCAATGGTTTTTCATTGTTCTCTGGAGGCTCCACAAACTTGAATACTAGCAAATCCATAAACAAGAAGTAAAAATTGAAAAAATCAAGTGTAAATATAATACTTGCAATTATAATGTTCATAACACGTTTTTACCAAACACAAGAAATGACAAAAAAATTAGACAGGAGTTCTTACCAGTTGCTATGATAGTCTCACCAGGAGCAAGAATAGCCCCTGGAGGACGCATGAAACAGCTTTTTGGCGCCGTTGTTTGAAACTAAAACAACAGAAATAAATAATGCATTAATCAGGTAGAAAGATAATAACAAATATAGTACTATGGCATGATATGATATCACTGAGGATTCACTTTACAAGGACCTAAAGGAACATCTATATTCAATTCATATTACTATCTTAAGAACCTACCACTGGGCATCAGAGAACTGAAAACTACAAACTATGGATTGAAACAAGTTACACCTTCTTGATCATACCTTGAACGCTACATAAGACTTGCTTGTATTTTTAATCCTGATAGCGCTCTGCACTTGCTTACCAGGTTCATCTTGAAGACAATATAGAAGCAAAAGAAATAGATTGTAAGAACAGCTGAATAAATCCAGAAAAAAAAAAGGGTAATATTAAATTAGAAGATCAATTTTCCAAAACAAAAGAAAAAAATAAGAGGTGTTGGCATTTTCCCGTCCCTGACACCATACACATACTCTGTGTGTGTGTGTGTGTGAGAGAGAGAGAGCATTTTTTCATAATTAAATACATAACTGTTAACAGAAAGAAGACTCAAAGGAATCACATAAATAAGAATGCCCCAAAAAAGAAAACGCGTCCATATTGATGAAAATTCAAAACAACATATTTCTCCATATTGACCACAAGTTACAAATACTTTATAGCAGTCAAACATATGAACTTTCAATAATTGAAAAGCGCGATGCAATCTTGACAAAGGGAGAAAAATACCAAAATGGAGAGATCAACTCTTGGCAAAAGAGATGAAACTTGACTCAATGATAAGAAAAGGAATGAGACTTTCAAAATTAACAAATCCAGACAGGAAGATAATCCAGTGTAGAACACACATAAATGCAATAGTGCAACTCAAAATAAAAGGCCTAGCTCATCCATCATATAAAGGAGAATTTGCGCGGGGGGAACCTAGATTCCGAAAAGCCCTTCTTTTTTTTTTTTAGTTCCTCCAAATTTCTTGTAAGTTCATCCATGACCAATGAGAAACCATAATGCTGAACTTAACCAAGTTGGAGGGGTTGCTTGGGTACCTCCTAAAATAGCATACTTATTGCATTGTTATCTTTTTTTAGTCACATCACCTCTCTACTGTTCCGCACATTTTTTAGTTTGTGGATTTGAAATGAATGAATATAGCATCACTCATTTAGTGACTATAACCTTCAATTCAATGAATTATTTTATATCTAAATTTCAAGAATGAATGTGAGAGTCTTAGATTATTGAATTTGAAATAACTTGATTAACGTACTTATTGATGAAAACAATTATTTGAAATCATATTGTACAAAATCATCAACAAAATGCATCTCTCCTATCTCTATGTCATCAATCAACATCCAATAATTAACCTTCCTACACTTTTTATAAAGTAACTTCAAGTCCCTTCATTTCAAATCCACTTATCCAAATAGAGCTTAAGCTTAATGCAATTGAAATTTCACAACTCTCTCCTCCAATTGTTCTCACATTAGTTACCCGCACACCAATATTCCCAAATTCAATTACTAATGCCACTTTATTTCACTAATTCAATAATTTTAAAATTATTGTGCAAATTTAACACCACATAAACCTTGTTAAATTACAAATTTTAATTTCGCCTAAATCACCTATAAATTTTTTGAACAAAATCAAAAATTTAAGTGTGCTAAGCAAATCTAACAGTCAATCAACTTCAAATCAACTAGATCGCACAAATATCATAAAATGCGTAAACAAGTACGATCAAAAGCACAAGTCAACAACAATTACGAAAGTAAACGATCGAGATGAGAGCACATACAAGGGAAGTAGAGCTTGTTCGACGGATCAAGGCGAAGACGACGTCGTGTCGGAAGAAGAGATCTGGCCGCAGACGAGACCGAGCTCGAGCTTGAGCTTGAAGTGTTGCTGTGTGGATTCGATCCTTCGACCTGTGAACTCTGATGATGAGCAATGTGAGACGAAGACGAAGACGACGTCGTAGAATGCGAATTCACCGATTGCCGAAACGGTAGCTTAAACAACCCCAAGATTTTACCGTCGGACGACGATTTCTGATCGTCGATCGCCATCGCCGGAAACTGAGTTGACTTGGTGTTCGTCGGAGGTTCTCAGACCATCGGCGGGGTCTAACGTCGTCGTTTTGAGCTTGTCGATCCTTGTTTCACAGACGAGTTTTGGAATTTTGAGTATGAGGTCTCGTTGAGTTCAGGAAATGGAAACGGGGAGAGACAGAGAGAGAGAGCGAGAGAGAGGGGTTGGAGATGAAGAAGAGGATTGAAGTGAATTTGATTGGTGGGGTTCACGTCCGCACAAAAGCATTTTATACAGTTACTACACTTGATCTTGGCCGAGAAAGGTTCAGCATTTTAAACAGTTGTCCATAAGGGCCTGTTTGTTTGGTAAAGGAATTTTCTTATTTTATATATATATTAGGACGGTTCAAAAATCCGTTTAAACTGGTAATTCGGATCGAATCAGATCGAATCGTATGGTTTGGTTCGGTTCTATTAAGCATTGGTTCAGTTTCGGATTAAGAAATATGAGAACCGTAAAAACGGTTCGATTAATGGATTTTATGAAAAAATCGGGTTCAAACCGAACCGAACCGAATTTTAAAATATATATATATATATATATATAATATTAAGTTTTATTTTTATTAATTGAAAATCGGGTTCAAACCGAACCGAACCGAACCGAACCGAATTTTAAAAGATATATATATATATTTTATTTTTATTAATTGGTTTTTTATAATTTTAATGATATTAGGATGGTATATATATGTAATATTAAGTAATGCCTTAATATTATTAGTTTTGAATAATACTTTAGACCCCCAGCAAATGCCACCCCCACCGACCCCCAGTGTCACGTGGCACTGCGGGATTGGAAGAAAGAAAAAAGAAAAAAAACAGAAAACTGGCCAATGAAGGCCCGCCACGTCACTGGGGGTCGACCCCCAGTGGGGGTCTGTAGCAGCACTGATTAGTTTTTATCATGAGTTAAATGTAATTAGTTTGAGTAATTATTTTGCTAATATTAACAATTTATTCTTGCAAATAGAAATTTTTAGAACCGTAAACCAAATCGAAACCGAACCGTTTTTTCAGTTTAGTTCTGGTTCGGTTTTACAAGTATAACGGTCTGGTCTGGTTCTCAAAATCACAGAACCGTTAGGATCGGTTCGGTTCTTGAATTTTCTCATAACCGAACCAATCCGAACCGTGTACACCCTAATATATATATATATATATCAATTGTTCCATTTTAAATTAGGCAGTGGCTTTGGTCCAGTCCAATATCGAACTGGACCGTGCTGTTGGGCCCGTAGGGGCCCATCACGGGTCCCTTTTTGATAATCCGAACCATTCAATGTGTAAAACTTATCGATTACTATATGTCTATAAAAATCACGTTGATCGGATATCGATAACTATGTGAACAAAACAGTTTTTTTATCAACCGTTAATTGTTTCACGGTCCATTTTTTTATACAAAACTGATTTGATCACATAGCTATTGATATCCGATCAACGTGATTTTTTACAAGCATGTAGTACTCGACGAGTTCTACACATTGACGGTTCGGATTATCAAAACGGGCCCAAAAAATGGGCCCCATAAGCCAAATTGGACGGGTCCAGTCTTGATCTCAACTTGAGACAAGCTGGACCCTTAAATTAAGCTCTATTTGTTTGGATATAAAATTTTTTACTATATTTTTTTAGAGTTGGTATAATGAAAAAAAAATTAAAAAAAAAAACATAAACTATGGTTAACAAAAAATAAATTTATTTGGATAGAAACTATTCACTTTTAAATGGTGAAAAATATTTTTCAAATTAAAATTTTACCAATATTATCACATTATCATGTCTATTTTTACTTCCACTATCACACCACCATCACCACAGTCACCGTCACCGAGAGGGAGATTTATGATCTGGAATTGGGCCGAGGCAACGGCCGAGCAAGTTGAGAGCCTAATGGTGCATGAGGCCGAGATGACCGGCGACGATCCGCCCGGAGATGGGCTGCCAGGAGTTGGGCCGGGCAGGAGTTGGGCCAAGCATGTGCCGCCCCAGACCGTAAAGAAGTTGCTCGGTAAGGCAGTGCTCGGTTGGGCCGAGCTGCTTGATCAGGCGATGGTGGAGCCAGTCAAGCTTAATGACCGGCGCCCGGAAAGGCGTGGTCAGCCGAGGTAATCGTTTAATCGGCAAGAAGGCCGACCGCAGGAGATGCCCCGGGCTAGGCTTTGCCAAGATGCCGCCTAGCCCGGTCCTCCTTGGGCTTAGTCCGTGAAGTGCTTAGGTATGAAGCACAGCACGGCCGTGGATAGAGAAGCTCGGCTGCCGAGCTCCAGCTGAGAAGGCAGTTGAGATTAGGTGATATTCAGCAAGGTTTATGCTGACAGATGAGATAGCGGAGCCACGTGTCAGGAGATGACTGGGAGTGGATATGGGGCGCAGAGGGTATATAAGTATGTCTGCACCCCCCATACGCAGACAGACGAACACTTTGTAAGGAAATTCTTACATTCAAATATTCCCCTCTCTCTTTCTCTATCCTAAGGTGTGTGCTAACTCGATCGTCGGAGGGTTTTTCCGGCCACACACCGCCGGGTAGCTCACCGTTGTTTGCTCGCAGGTGATCAGACAAAAACAGAGCTCAGAAGAAAGGAATACAGGCTTGCCTGAATATTTGCTCCCCATACAGTCACCGTCATCGTGGCCACCACGTCCTACACCTTCACTCTAATGCCACCACTAAACATAAAAAAAAAGTAAAAAATATTTCTTGTTAGAAAATATATTCCGCTCAAATAAACGTAGCATTAATTAATTATGTGTTGAACAACATTTAACTAGTTTTGTGTCAATTAATAAAAAATAAAAATAAAAGACTTTTATGCGTGAAATTTAATTATAAAATCGAATACAATTCTCACCGAATTTTTTTTGCATCTAAAAAAAAATAAATTGATAAATGAGTTAATTCAAAATTCAAAGTTGGTGGTTTCAGACCTCATAATAATGTTGTGTTTACGTAAATAATGACAAAATCATTTTTTTAAATAAAATTTTAATTTTTAAAACTATATAAATGAGTTAATTCAAAATTGAAAGCTGGTGGTTTTAGACTTCATAATAATGTTGTGTTTACGTAAATAATGACAAAATTATTTTTGTAAATAAATTTTTAATTTTATTTTACATGGCATATTTAGGCAGATTGAAACAAGCTGTTCAGAGATTTTTTTTTTTCTCATATGTTATTTTTCAATTTAACAAAAAAATTTCTAATGATCTTTTAGTAAATAACTAATTAAAATAATTTTAAAATATTAACTCTATTCTTTGAGACTACTAAATGAACTTTAAATATCAATTTGAGATTTAAGCCTTGTTTGGAAATTTGCTAAATTAGTCAAAAAATCAATATAAAAATCAACTCATTTTTTTCTATTTTTTTACATAATTTTTTTGTGAATCTTTTTAAAAATCACTAAAAAAATTAATTCTCAAACAAACCCTTGGTTGGGGCATGTTCGTTGATCTGTTTGACACAGTTTATAGAATTGTTCATTGCAATTTTCTTTTTCTAGAAAAAAAAAATGTGCCAATTACTCTAACGGTGTATGTAGTTTAGAACTTGTATCAGTTTAGTTCCTGACCTTTCAATTATAATATATTTGACGTTGAATTTTAAATTTTGTTTCAAATAAGAACAATTGAATAAAATATAAACTAGTAAGAAAATCATCAATTTAATAAAATATAAACTAATAAGAAAAATAAATGTCAAAAAAATATTTTTTAATTTTTAAAAATTATTTCTACACGCACCATAGATAAAATTATATAAAAATGATAAATCTTTAATTTTTATTTTTTTACTAAATTAATTTTCAGTATGTGTTTAGATGATGGTCATGTAATGGGTTGTTATTTTTGTTGATTTTTTTGATGGTTATTGAGAGGGAGATTTATAATCTGACTTTGGGCCGTGGAAGGAGCCAGACAGAAGATGGCCGAGCATGTTTAGGCCGAGCTAACTTGGGCCTGATTAGAGTGGGATTTGCTCGGTCGAGGCTCGCCCCTGTTTAGGCCGAGCTAACTGGGGCTTCCTTTGTGATGATCTTGCTCGGTCCAGGCCTAGGTCTGAGGTCCAGGTCCCATGTTTGGACCGAGCTTCCCCGGATTTGGACTTGCTCGGCCGAGGCCTATCCCCGAGGTCTACTTAGCCGAGATGTGCGTCTACTATCGGGTTTTGTGGGAGCACGATTAGCTCGGTGGGAAAAGTCTTCTGAATGCTAGTGTAACATGTCTGGAACTCGGTCCTACCAGAGTGCTACCGAGCTCGGCTGTTATGGAGCTCGGCGAGTGGAGCACTCGGGCACGTTACGCAGCACGGTCGTGGAAGGCCGTGGTGATTCCGCGGGGCTGCCGAGTTCCCGCTAATGTAGCCTAACGGTTGGGTTAGGTGGTGATTGCTGGATTTGTGCTGACAGATGAGAGAGAAACACCACGTGTCAAGAGACTAATGGAAGCAGATTTGAGCGCAGAAAGTATATAAGCATGACTGCGTCCCCCGTGCTGAGCGAGAACATCATTTGGCAAAACACTCATTGTGATATATCTCTCTCTTCTCTCTCCCTAAGTGTGTGCTAACTTGACCGTCAGAGGGGTTTTCCGCCCACACACCGTCGGGTAGCTCATCGCCGTTGTGCTCGTAGGTCGATCGAACAGACAAGGAGCTTGGACGAAAGGAGTACGGGTTCTGCGGAATATTTGCTCCCCGTACAATTGGCGCCGTCTGTGGGAACCTGATAGACAAAACCTTGTCTTCCAAGCTCATCTGATCACTTTCTATAGCGAACAACGATGAGATACCGTTGTCCACCATCGATGGTGTTACCCCGGAGTCAGCCAGACGGAGAGACGGACTCCCCACCGTTCCAAACATGGCGGACTTGGAGACTTCCCCAGGAAGACATTCAAGAGACGCGCGGGATATGCGCGGTAGAAGTTTTGGTCACTCTCGGAGCCCAGACGGGCACCGGCGGCGAAGAGAATCGCATGCTAGGCGTCTGGAGCACAAGTTAAGGGACCAAGACGCCGGCATCCGGAGAATGGCGGCGGAGATGGAAGATCTCAAACGGCATGTCAAAGGGAAGGGTGTTGCTGGAGTGAGAGACCACAGTGAGCACACCCAACCACGCCATTCAGGCAGTCAGAGCCAGCGGCACACTCCCTCCCTTTCTATCACCAGAAGTTACAGGGATGGAGATTCCGACGCGCCTATTGAAAAGTCTAG